CCGGCGAGTTCCAAAACCCGGTTACTGTTCATGGGTATGAAACACTATTCCCGAACTCAAAATCTGATCTCCACCGTTCAGATTGTGCGACACTGAGTCATGAACCTATCCTCCAAATTTCAGCTCGATCGGACCACGGACGAAGCAGTATCGGATGTTTGATGAAATCTGGGCAGAATGGAAAAACCTGTGCGACCTGGTTACTGTTCACGAGTACGAATCACTGTTCCCGAGGTCAAACTCTGATCTCCACCGTTCAGATTGTGCGTCACTGAGTCGTGAACCTCTCCTCCAAAATTCAGCTCGATCGGACCATGGACTAAGCAGGATCGGAGCTTTGATCAAACCTTGGTAAAATGTGAAAAACTGCGTTTTTCCTTCTCCACTTCCACAAAACGTGTGCTTTGTTTTAAAAAACCCTACACAGACATCTACCTTATACTTATAGAGTTTTCCTAAACCCTAGGTTCATTTAAGTCCAACTCACAATCCTAACCGGCCCATCCAATTAACGTAGAAACCTACGACGGCTATAATATAAAACCCTAATTTAAACTGTAATTAAAACCCTAGTTAGATGTATTTACCTAATTACCCTATTCACCATTAAATACTTAACAAATAATCTAATTGAACAAAATAATAATTAGTAAACCCAATTAAACCAAATAAGACACACATAAAATAAGACACACATAGAATAATTAAACTAATTACACTTAAACCATTAATGCCAATTAAATAATTAAAACACTAACAAGTAATTCCAATCAAATAACTAAACCAATTACACTTAAACCATTAATGCCAATTAAATAATTAAAACATTAACAAGTAATTCCAATCAAATAACTAAAAATAAATATCATTTAACTAAATTAAATCACCACAAAAGAAAACAATTAAGCACCTAATAAAAAAATAATGACACATAATCAAATAAAATGCACTTAAATAATAAATTAAATACCATTAAATACCAAGAATATCCTTTTTAAAATTAGGGGTATTACAACAACCTAGTGAATAGCACAATATATCAAACTAAGCCATTAATCATTCCTTTAAGTTCACAATCAACACATTAACAAGTTAGAGAATAATACTACTTGCATTCATAAGTATGGAACATCAAACAACAAGCATGGATTGTCTTCCCATCTAAAAAACTAAGGCAACTACATTACAATTAAGCTAAGAACATGGAAATTAAACTAATCAAACTAAGGGAGACACGCAATCCATCAAGAAATGGGCATAAACCATCAAATAAACCACAAGAGTATTCTATTTAAGCACTATGCCTTGACAATCTCTAGATCCATAACATTAACACACATAGACATGCATCAACAACACAAAAACCAGAGATAAACACATGAACATCTATTTTAGCATACATAGACATATGGATAGAATGAAATGATCAGTATGAAGTATTAAACCACACAAATCATTGTATCAACAAGATTCATATATAAATTAAGTATCAAGACAACATTACAACACAAATCCCCTAAAAATACAAAGCATTAAGGTTTAAAAGGCATGCTTAGGGCTAACTCTAGTCCCAAGAAGATGTTTAACCACTCATTGATGTAGTCATCCAACCCTCAAGGGCTATCTCCACGATAGAAATGCTCTTCTCCTTGGTTGAAACCCTAGAAGAATGGAAGAACTCCCAAGAATAATGTATGTCTCTCTAAGCTCTAGCCTCCTCTCCAAGATAGATGATATATGATATGAAGATCAATGAAATAATTCCCCCCTTAAAGTGGCTCCAAATCCTTATATAGGAGGCTCAAGTGTCACATCCAATGGTCTGGATTCGTGCACTCAGGTCCCTTTAATGATTGCACCATGAGCCATCTTTTAATGAGCTGGACTCTGTTTTAATTCGGACTTGAGGAGATTCGATCGATCGGGTTCAGATGAGATCGATTGAACTTTGGTGAGATTGATCCAATGTTGGCAAGATCGATCCATCTTTGGCAGCGCCTTTTAGAATAAAGACAAATCTGAGATATTTTTGGGATATTTTGGGATAAAGACAAAAGTGGTAAGTGGGGATAAGATCAAGGAAGTTCGATCGATCTGAGAAAAGTTGGATCAATCGAAGATGGTGAATTCTTTTGGATAAGGACAAAGGCTTTAATCCATCTTGAAATGGCTAGATTGATCAATGTGAGATCAATCGAAAATATTCCTGATCGATCGAAGTTTGCAGATTTCCACCACTTTGCTTCCACTTTGCTCCATTCTTCCATTCAGTTTGAGATTGCTTATTTTATACTCTAATTTGGCTGAATTAGTTTATTTTGGGGATAAGTGCCTAAAAAGGGTAATAACATGAAATTAGTCTAAAACGGGAAAGTAAGATAGATAAAGGTCCTAAAATACTCGAGTTTAAGAGGTTTAAATGCGCACTTTTCAGCGCTCATCAGTGATGTATAAAAAAAATACACATTATTTTATATTTGCCTATTTACTAGTGAGCAGATTAACTTTACTGACCGATTATGTGTTTCAATAATAAGTAGACACATAAGCTTTAATGACAAATTCAAAAAATATTTACATTACAACCCAACAAAAATGAGGGGTTTTAGTGGAACAGAACAAATGATGTCGAGCCAGGAGCACCTTCATTCCTATATAAAATGATGGATGTAAGAATCCACAACGGATCGTGTCTTTCAAGTCACACGTTGCTTTCTACCACATCGTTTCAAACGAAGTTTTACCATAACATTCCTCTAAATTGGAACCGGTATGGAAATGATTCAATATTCAATTATGGAATCATGAATAGTCATTGGTTCAGTCGGTTCATAGTAATCTAGATTTTTCTCTTCTATATGGATGGGTAGATATTTTTCTAAAGGAATCTTCACCCCCTCCCAGTTTCTCCACTATTCTTCTTCCTCTCATAGGACAAAATCAATAAATAGGCCTCATATTGTTAATTCTATTCCTACATCTTCAATGGGTTTGTAGATGCACCTAAATTGTATTATATAATTTATGTTATTTATAACATCTAATGTGATATATAAAATATTTTTTACCAGTAAATAAACAAATCAATCAGAATTTTTTTTTTTTATTTATGAAAATTAATCAATCAAATTTTTTTTACTAACATGGTTGTAGCAGAAACTTAAGAAACTCTGTTTGCTATTATATCAGTTGCATTTTTTATCTCCAAACATACATATTCAATGATACATAGCCTATATACAAATAATTCGTACTAGAAAGCATATATGATCATGATAATAGTGATCAAATAGGATCAGAAGTTCAACTTCTTAGGAAATCTTGAGAAATAGAGGGAAAAGTAACCCCACAACCCACCCTTGCCTATTGAGTGATATGAAGCCCGAGAGATTTCTATTGATTGATGATGTTCTATGATAGGTGAGAGGAAGAAGAATAGTGGAGAGAGGACAGCGTGAATCTGGGAAGGGGTGAAAGAGCGAGAAAAGAAATACACAGGGTTTGAATACAGGCTACCCAATTGAAGTGAGTTGATCCGGTTTTATTTTATTTTATTATTATTATTTTTTATTTTGTCATTAAAACTAAGGTGTCCACTTATTATTGGAACATATAATTAGTCAGGAAAATAAACCTATTCACTAGTGAGTACGCAAATATTGTCCTTTTAATAATACAATAATAACAAATGCAAGGAGAAAAAGAATAGGAAAACTCGAATCGGATAAGATCACTCAGAGACATAAGATATGTAAAGAAGGATTAGAATCAAGCAGAAAGTAAAAGAAGTATTAGTAATAGGATATCAAGATCAAAGACGAGGGAAAATATATATATATATATATATATCAAAATTAAAGTCGCACAATGTCCTTACAATGTAGGAGTAATAAATAAATAAATAAATAAATAAAATATTTGAAACAGCATTCAAGATAAACTCAAGAATAAATTGAATCCAAAATTCTTACTCAGTTTTCCTTCACGAAGATCACTTACAAATCCCTCTCCAATATCATCATCGTGCTTAATTTCATTCCTTCTATGTTACCATTAATGCATCCGGACAAATTACAATAATTTATTAATACTTTGTACAAATTTAATGTAGAGAGGCTTTTCAAAAATTATAATAACTCACATAATCACATTACAAACATAATTTTTATTCAAGCATTTTAGAACATTATTACTCTTTTGACTTTGTGTTAACTTACTAACTCTTTCCTTATTCTCTCACTAATTATATATATATATATATATATATATATATATATTCTTGAGAAATGCTACAAATTTAAATCTAAAATTATTTATTTACATAAATAATAATATTAACATTAAATAAAAATTTAATTAAATAGTAAATATATTCAAAAATTAAATACATTAGATATAAATTTTTTATTAAATATATATGTTACTAAATTTTATATTTATAGTATTTAATTTCATGTTTTAAAATTTAATTATAAATTTAAACTCAAAGTTATTTATTTTTATTAAATATATTCAATTATATTTAAAAATTAAATATATTATATATAAATTTTTATTTAAATATATTTGTTAAGAAACTTTATATTAAATATGCTATGCAAATTAAATATGCTAATTAATATATATATATATATATATATATATATATATATATATATATACATACATATATATATATATATATTATATTTGATGAGGACAAATTTGTCCTTTAAGTTTGCTGATATTTTTAACTAAAATAAATTTAAAAACGGGAGTAAAATTGCCAATTTGCACAATTTTAATTGTAAAAGTGACAAAAAGATATTTTGTCCGAAAAACTCATTTCAAGTGTTGGTTTTCATAATTAATTCAAATTCCAATTTCAATTTTTAAAAACTCATTTCAATTTCAATTAAAAACTCATTTCTATTTTAATTGTTAAAGGGTTTTCATAATAAATTAAAATTCCGTACTTAGCGGAATTTCAAAAAACTCAAACAGAATTTATGACGCCTCGCAAGTGGGACCCTATTCAGCCCGCAACAATAAACCTCTCTCTGTATCACGAACCAGAGAACCAGAGAAAATTAGGGCACGACCAGAGAACCAGAGAAAATTAGGGCATAATGGTTGAAGGAGGCGTAATCGGGTAGAGTAAGCCGATTTATCTCTCACGGAGGTAAACGGTCGGAGGAGCAGATCAAAGCCATAATCAAAGCAAATCCAGAGGAGCTAGTGGTTCTAATTCAGCGTCATTAAGAATAACTGAGTGGTGAGCAATACCATTCTGATTTCTGAATCCAATTGAGGGATAATCCATCGAAATTTCACGTCTGTATTGCAGGCATCCAACCGAAGATATGGCAGGTTGGATGCGTGCAATCCAGACGTGAAATTTCGATGGATTATCCCTCAATTGGGATTCAGAAATCAGAATGGTATTGCTCACCACTCTGTTATTCTTAATGACGCTGAATATTAGAACCACTGGCTCCTCTGGATTTTCTTTGGTTATGGCTTTGATCTGCTCCTCCTACCGTCCGTTTACCCATCCATGAGAGAGAATCGGCTTTACTTTCCTCGATTACGCTTCCTTTAACCATTATGCCCTAATTTTCTCTGGGTTCGTGATACAGGAGAGGTTTAGAGAGAGAAAGGGTTGAGGTTTAGCTGATTCTCCTTTCATGCGGTATGTATACGTATATATAGATCCGATATTTGTTGTTTTAGTACACTGGACCAGGATTTCTGGTCATACGGTTCCTGTGGGGTTTGAGTAGACTTGGCTGATGAGCATACGATTCGTCTGGGAGACGACTGGAGCATATACTATAGATTGGTGTGGACTCCGTTGCGCGGCGCTTATGATGTGGAGACCGTGTTCGCTATGCCTACTGCCATTTTTGCTCTGGCGGAAGAATTAGAGAATCATCTGGTAAATCATATAATATTATATGTTCTCTATTTTGTATTAAATTTCTATTCGCCCTTTCACATTATTATTTTAATTACTTTAGTATTATTTTAATTCTGTATTGGTTTTTCCCCGGTTTCTATTGATAATTACCAAAAAAAAAAAGATTTAAATGTAAAAGAGATAATTACCAAAAAAAACATAACAATTATATCCAACCGTCCATCCATATATTTGGAATTGAGATTGATAATGATGTGAAGAGAGAAGGTGGAGAGGGTAGTGAGAGAGTTAAAGGAGTGAGAGAAGCGTAAGGAGATGAAGAAGAAGGTGATGGAGTTGAAGAAGAAAGCTGAAGAAGCCACTAGTCCTAGTGGAGTCTCTTCTTACTTGAATTTGGACAAAATGGTAGAGAAAGTGCTTCTGTCCAGTGTCCCCTAGCAAGGTATCCTTGGCTTAGATTTAGCAGTTATGTAGATAATTATGTGGGGTTTGATAAATTTCCATTTCTCAGTTTTTTTTTGTCACTTGAGAGTATTCTGTCACTCAACTAGTTGAACAATGCAACAAAGCCACAGGATGAGTTTTGTTCATGCATGTATTGTCCATATGTTGTTTTTATTTGTTTCCAAACTGCATAATAATTGGCAATGTATTTCCTCTGTAATTTGACTTGTGAGTAAAACAAAATAATTTCCCTTGAGCTGTCACCAATAATCAATGGCAAAGCTGTTGATCCTGGTTCATGTTTTTGTCATCCTTGGCTGTGCACTGACATTATATATGCATGTAAGTTGTATACGTAATTGGATATGTATGGTGTCACTTGGCAGGAGTATTGTCAAAAATGCTATATATGGTTATAAGATTTTTATTTTTTAATTCTTTATAATTTGCTAATTAGAATAATTTGTCCCTGGTGCTTGAATGGTTCATTTCAGCAAAATATGTGTTCATGTATGCTTGTTCATGCGGTCAATAGTTTAATTGAATTTTTGTCTTCGTTCAGGATGAACAAATGATCCTGCTACAAGAAGAGTTGCTCTATGTGCTTGAAGATAGGACTCTTACTTTAGGAAAGATTAAGCTGGAGTTCAATGTCTCAAGGATTGTAGGAGCATGTGAAGGGGTCATTGTTGTCGAAGATCAAAAAAGTTCATATGACTTGCCAACGGTGACTATAAGTTCATTCTAATGATGTCTAACCTGGATGCTGTCCAAATGTTTAATCTATCCTGTGATTCTTGGCAATTAGTAGGATCTTATCCACACAGCTGTATATTAAAATCTCCATTGGCAATTTTGCATAAGCATTCGCTCTACTGGTTAGCTGAGAACAGAGCAACGAAAGTCATTTTCTGCTTTGACTTGATCGAAAGTAGATGTTCCGAATTTTCAATTCCACAATATAAATATGGAAATCTCGAGTTGGTTCAGTTAGCAGAAACCTGTGCTTATCAGTTGTTGGAGAAGGTTTCCTGGATTTATATTTGGTGTTCGAAGCAGCACAAGAGATCATTCCTTGGAAGCAGTTCACATTGAATGTGGGGTATCTGATTACACCTGTGCGGCTTCTGGACGATGAGTTTTGGGTGCTGGGAAGAAACAGGTTGTTCAGGCTAGATGGTTCAGAAGTGATTGACATCCTCAACACGTCAAGTATAGTTCAGGCAATTACCACCTGCCTTATTCCTGCCAAATTGCCCGAGTTGTGAACTGTTACGTATTCTGGGATTACAGTTGTGTACTTTAGTAACTGGGCTCTTTCTCTTTACTGACGCTGGTCTAGTACTTTTTGTGTATGAAACTTGTTAAGCCTTTTCTTGTTATATGTTTGCTTAGTAATTTTGGTGTGTGAAACTTTGTGTAAGGATGTATTGAATTACTGGTTTGAAGGAAAGGTTTTAGTGAAATATAAGATTTTGTGCGTCTACCATTTGCTTTTGCTATAACTTTCTGGTACAAGTGTACAGCTACAGGTTTGAGTGAATCTTAAATCCAAGCAATGGCTGTCTTCGCCATCAATTATGCTTATATGTAAACATATATATAATTATATATTTATATAGATATACATACATACAGACACACTGCACACACCTACGCAGAGGGATTTTACTAAACTGGAAAGCCATGAATGCAAGTGTGTACTGCAGTCAGACTCAGCACCTCAAGCCTTTCGGAGAGATCCGGGACACCCTCAGTGGCATCATTGGCGCTTTCCAATACGTCAAAGATATCGTTGAATCAGATGTTTGTCATATGCTCCACTCTCGCGCCGAGTTATGTTTATTGTATGTATGAATTATCACTCAGATTTCTTCTTTATTTCATGACATTTTATTCTTCCTTCTTTATTCCATTCCAAGTCCCTCTTGAAGTTAATATAATCCTCACTGGTTTCAATGGTGATGGAGGCTACAGGTACACTAATGGAATCACACAAATCAGAAGAGTTTCTGAGAGTTGGTTTCCCATCTCACAGGCCCTCATGTCTGTAGAAAGGAGAATCCCTTGATATTGAGCATCACATTGTGTACAATGCTTTTCCTGTAAGCTTCTTCTGAATATTGTTTTAAAAAATTTCAGTTATCATACTGGATGCAGTTGGCATTTTCAAATAGCTGTCTTTGAGTTTTTTGCACCGACTTGACTATCTTGTATATATATTTGAGAACAGTAATTTCATGTACTAGGAGTGTTAGGGCTATTCATAGTTAGGGAAGTTTTGTATGTTTAACTGTGCAGCTTAGAAAACTATGTCACAACTATTGTGGTAGATCCTTACAGAGCTTGATATATATTTTTTGGTAATTGGTACATTTCCTAAAAAATTTAGGTTTAGAGACAACTAGTTATCTTATGGTATTAGAGCTTCAATTCTGAAAGATTTTGGGTTCTAGTCTTCCAAGTCTATTTGTTCAAGTCTATTCACACACTCTATTTGTTAAATTTGCACCCCATGTTGAATATATGTCTGTCTATCTCTGCAATGTGAAGAGGGTGTCGCATGTGAAGTTGGGTGTGAGCGGTTGATGCACATTGTTTGGCCTATTCTTAAACTTTTTAATGAAAGTGCTTGTCTTGCATATCATCTTACAACCATGTAATGGTGCCTTTCAGATTTGGATTTAGATCACAGTCCTAGAGGACAGTGGATAGATGATAGCTCTAGGTGATGAAATGGATGGTAGGGTAAGGGGCATTATTAGAAACAATTATGTTGGACAGCTGTTGCAGTGCAGGTATTTTTTTTTAATGCCTGGCTGTCCCTAACCTATTAGACTCAGACTAATCCTGCAAATTGTGTCTGTCGGGTAAGTGGTCTGGAAGGAGTTGAACCTGAGGCATCCCGGTTCTTGAGCTGTTTCCTTGGCCAGCTTGCCCACCCGTGCAGGTTGACTATCTACAGTTCAATCAATTGACTGGAAACTGATAATATATTTAGAGTGTCAAATTTCCTGTCACCGTCATTTGATTTCACTGAAACATCATAAATTACTGTTGGTCCCTTATCCAGGGAACTGGTAGCTGCTGTTTGGGCACATTTATTGACTGTCAGTGTAAGCCAAATAGATTGCTTGTTTGAAAATCCAAAGATTAAAAGAGGCTTGCTATTTTATCTCTTGGATTGGTGCAACATACGACAGGCCGGGCAGGTTGCACTTGAGAAGGCCCTGACTATAGCATTTTGAGTTTTTTTAGGCCATGACTATAGCACTTTATCTCTTGGATTGGTGCAACACCCTATAAACTGCTTACATGTTTTCTTGGCCATGGCTTAGTGGATTCCCTTGCGACTATAGCATTTTGAGTTTTTTTTCTTCCCTTGGCTGGTTTCATACAGGTCAGAATGGATCCCAAGAATAAGGAAAATGATCTAGATAGTTTAATGTGGCAGACTTATGGAGCTGAGGAAGAGAAGAAAAGACGAGGGAGATTACATTTATCGTTATCGTTGTAATGGAGGTGGAGCATCTCAGGTTTGGCTGGGCTCTGGCAGGTATAATTGATTTATTTTTCTCCTTAATAGTATTGCATTTTTGTCGGAGAGAAATTAATTTTTGCCAACAATTCTACTTCAATGTATGGTGGTTTTAAGTTTTTAAAGCGTTGTGCGTGGGATCTGAACTGGATTAGGAAATGCCATATACTTATTAGATGGATCATTAATAAATGACATCATTTTACTGTTTGTTCTATAATCTTTGATGAATCAGTTGTTTTGCTGTCATAGATCTAGGTGATAGCGATTCTTATTTGTAGTTCCCTATGTGTAATAGTATTTTCATTAAAGAAATATTAAGATGACCAAGGACTGACTGTACTGATTTATCATTCATTGTCACAACCTTCTCAGAAATGGACTTTATGTCCATTACCAGACCATTACCCATAAAGGACTAAAATTTGAACGACTTAAGGAGCTTATATCCGTATTCTTGCTATGTGACCTTGTAACCATGACCTTACCTGGGATATTTGATACGGGTTTAGAGCTTCTTTACTTTGGGTAATGGAAAACTCCCGATACTTTGAAGGCTAAACCGAACATACCAACTTTGACATGAGCAGTAAGCCGCCTTCAAACTTCTTATATGTATAGTAAAAAAATGGGTAATAAAAATTAACTAGTACACATTTACTCAATTGTACAAACAAAATTCACGGCCTTTAGGAATCTTAAGCACCTAATACACGTACCTAAATCCATGTAATATAATTATATTTTAATATTTTTCCTCTTGCCAACTTTTGCCATTTAATTGTTGTTTTCCCTTTAGTTAAGCATGATCTAAACTTATTAATTTTAAAATAGAAGTAATTGAGCAGTTTCATGAAGCATAATCCTTAGCTGCCAAGCACGAAAAGACACAAGTCAAAGGCCCTCGGATATGGAGGCACATGACCTGTGGGAATCTCGTGACGTGAAAAAGGTAAAGATATATAAATTCTAGAGGAAAATGCAGGAAGCCCCCTTGAACATTCCCATATTTGCAAATAATCCCCCTGATATATCAATTTTTCAATATCTGCCTCTATAGTTTATAAAAAACCTTCAACCACCCTGACTTTTACTTTTCATTAGAAAATGGATGAAAAAAGTCGTGTGTGCTTCACATGACATTTTAATGTTATATTTTGACCAATATGTGATTTTGCATGTTGCCCTGAATTCTAGCATGTGAGGTGTATATCCTTTAGGTCTCTCTCTGTCTTCCCCTTTCCCTCCAAACGACTTAGGTGTCGTTTAAGTACTGAAAATTTTTAGAACTAAAATTGTCAGTCTTATTATAAAATAAAATTTTCTTTGATACTTTTTTGAATTAATAAAAATTTCTTTTAAGTGACATTTACTCTTGTAAGTGATATCTATGCTGTGATATCGAACATACGTATGTAACTGAATAAACACTTTATAAATTGGGTTATCAAACAACACCTTAGTGCTTTTCATATGTTGGTGCTGGTTTAATTTGGTTGGTTTTTTAGGAATTTTAACTTCTTCCTTGGTTGAACTTTAATTGGGACTTGGAAATTTCTTTAACTGAATTTTCTTGGAAGGTATCTATAAATAAAGTCAACCTACCATACATTAGCAAATAGTTGCGAGTTTTTGATACTCCACCAGCTTTTCCTTCTATTTGAAGTTGAAAATACTAGTTCATAAGTGTTTGAATGGAGAATAAGCTTCAACCTAATGAAGCCTGTATGAAATCGAGCATGAAAGGAGTTGATCCAAGCTCGACTGGTTACTTCATGTGTGGCAAGTGAAGTGAAGCCCTTGTTTTGTTTGCTGATTGACGAACCAAGCTTGAGCTTGTTTGAGCTCAATTCAAGCTTGAACATCAGTTTCACTGAGCTGAACTTAATTAAACACTAGTTTTAGCTGGCCCAGCTCATCTCATTTGTTAGCCCCTAACACGTTTTATATCCTTTATGAAAATCTTTTTAACTAGTTCTTGATTCTTTTGAAAATGAAGTTTATATATTGCTTTTTGCATACCAAAACTGATGATAATGATGATGATGGTGATGACACCAATAATGATTACTTAATATATTTGAAACCAATCCACAAATTAACCTTCTTAATCAATACATATGTCAATTAGTGGTCCGATCTCCTTATATATCCTGGAAAAATGGATTTCATTTGTTCGTTAATGCATGAGCACTTAGTTTAAGCAAATTGGGATTGTAGTGGCATAGGATGAAGCAAAAAGAATGAATAATATAATTAACATAGATTAGAGTGCCAAAAATTTGCTTTCCAGTTCAAGCAACGCCAAAAAAATCTGCTCAAATTGCACGAAGGCTTGAAAAGGGGAATCCAAAGGATATGGTTCTATAATGATTGACTAGGTTCAATTTCTTCCTTCTTCTTTATCTTCTGTTTTTTATTTTGTTTTGTTTTGTTTGGGTCTCAGAAAAAAAAGAAAGAGGAAACTAGTAGTTGGTTTTCATGATTCCCACAATCACGTTATATGTGCAATTCTTCATGATATTTGGAACCATGCTTTGACTTGTAAGAAGTATTATACTGGACCATTTTTGCAACTCTCATATTACTTCATTTACAAATTTTCCCTCCTCACAAATCTTATATTAAATCTCACACCTTTTCGAATGAATTATACCACTTTTCTCATGACTTGGATAAACAGTTTGGCCAAACATCGCCTCTACTTTCAATCCTTTGTTCTTTTTATTGTTTAATTTTGATGGCAGAAAATCAAATTGGATGAACTATAGTGCCTAGTTAATTATCATTAAAATGTCCGCATCCCTACGTCATCACATCGAGCCGTCACATCATTATGTCATGTCCCTAGTTAATCTCACTCTAATAAATTATAGAGAGATTAGGGGCAGGGGAAAGGGGAGAAGATCTACTGGGGTACGTTCGGCCCGGTCGTTCAAGCCTGGGTCGTTGTCGGGCCGTTGTCAGGCCCAACTTCATCAGGTTTATGAGCAGGCCTCCAATCTAGTATGGCCTGAGGAGTAGACCCAGCCTAGAAGTGCCCAAACTTGGGAACCAAGATAAAAGTTTTAGGGTAAATGAAAACTTCTATAAAAAAGAAGGAGAAGTAGGTTTGTTTGGAGTACGGGAAAATCCTTTCCTAATATAGAGGGGTTTTTTTCTTGCATTTTCATGTACATATGCGAAAACATTACATGTCAGATCAAGTTTTCTTTCTAGCCCTAAAATTCGCAATTGCAAACTGTTCTTGAACTTCAACAATTGCATCACTGGTGAACTAGTTTTGAATCATTTAAAATCTCAATCTTTACCTAAATTAGTAAAACAAATAGAAGAACCCCATCATATGTATACAAATCAGTTGTTCCGGTACGTGTTTAATTGCAGGATGAAAAGAACTAGAAAAAAAAAAATGATTCATGATAATCAGACAGAAAGATTAGACCGATTTGTTAGGCAGAATGTACATGGCGCACCAAAAAATAAAAAATAAAAAAATAAATTATATGGCAATTAAATGGTCCCACTAATATGTCCATTAAAACAACATGAATTTTCAAAGACAAACTTACTCTTATAGTGCCTTATTATATGCATCCTCCCATTTTTAGGGTTACTTAATTGATATTATCATTTCAAAAACAACTATAATTAAAATGATAATGATAATTGCAGTAATGTAAAACATTTAGTGAATATTGTAAAACTTGAACTTAAAAAAAGTAAAATGATAATTGCAGTAATGTAAAACATTTACTAAATAATATAAAATATACAACAAGTAACTCTTAAAATAGGTCTTCAATGAAGCTATGCGGTTGGATGATTGTACCTCTTCGCTGGTTTGTTGATTGTAACTCAACGGGTTGGGATGTTGAAATTGTTCAGTTTGGTCACTAAAGTTTGGTCGTTGTTAGCTCAGAGCTTGTCGGAATCAATGGAGCTTTGCTGGTCACAGCGCATCAGAGTTAATGGAACTCACAGCTGGGTCTGTCTTCACAAATGTAAAAGTCACTACTAAGTCTCCGTAGCTTCACCGATTTAGTCTTTGTTAGCTCGGAATTCGTCGGAATCAATGAAGCTCATTGACTAAACGTTCATGTACTGCATGTAAACTTTTATTCCCATATTTTTATAAGTTACATTTAGAATTAGTATTCAAATATTGAACTGGCTGAGTTATTTTCTCAACTTAATTTTCAAAATGAATGCAGTTCTTTATTTCTTAGGTACTAGTTAGTTTGGTTTTAGGTTAGGGTTAAGACATTTACTTATATAGTATATCTTTAGATATTGCTGTTATAATGTTGTAATTCAAAAAAACATAAAAAACAGAGATGCTGCTTCTCAATCTTTAGTTGAGGTTATATTACGCATTGCGGCACCTACTAAAATCTATTAGTAGGTGGTTGTGGGAGTTGAGTTGTGATTTTGACTTGGTGTATTATTAGATTAGCGTTTTTTTACACTTGAGTGACCCCTCAATCGATATACCTGAGGACTAGCCTTTTTTACACTTGATGGGTTGTTGTGTTTAGGTTGTTTGGTGCCTATGTTAATGTTTTAATGAGGCTGTAGACTATTGTACACTTGTGTTAATAACATATATTCCATTATTTTAAATTTTAATGATAGGTTGGCAGTAGGCTGTTGAAGGAGTGTTACCCCATAAATTGGTTACAGTTTATCTACTAGTCATAATTAAAAATTAATTAAATTGGGTCATTTGAAAAAAAGCCAATTTGATGGTTCCCAAATCAAATTAACCAAATTAGATTAAGTACTCCCACAAATAGAATTAAATTGAAATTTCACCAATCAGTTGGACCGAAGTAGATTACATTTGACCCTAATCCGATTAGATCCATGTTCATCCTTGGTGTGCTTAACTTAATTAATATGAGTAAAATAATCAAATTAATAGGAGTACTTTTTTGTAATTAAATTTTAGAATAAAGTGCAAAAAACTCATATGAACTATATTCAAATTCGCAAATAATACTGTCATTACCTTAACTATTTTTCATTAAATGACTACAGTATCAATTTTTTTTGCCTATTTTTTGCCTATTTTTCATTAAATGACTATAGTATCAAGGCAATTCTTACCTCCTCGACCACAATACACCCACCAGGGAGCAGCCTTTACTTCTCTATCTTACCTCGACTGACAAGTTTATTGGGGCTCTTTTTGCGCAAACAGTCGAAGGGCAAGAACGACCAGTCTATTATCTCAGTCGCCTTGTACGAGAGACTGAGGCTCGCTACTCAGCCATCGAGCGCCATTGCCTCGCACTTGTATTTGCAGCACAGAAATTTAGACACTATTTCATGGCTCATCGCGTCCATTTGATCACAAAGTGTGACCCGTATAGGCACCTCCTCTCTAAGCCAATCATCTCAGGAAAAGCGTCGCGATGGTTTTTAGCTCTCTCAGAGTTCGATTTTACATGCTTTGCACCACGGGGTATTAAGAGCCAAGCTTTAGCAGATTTGCTCGCACAGTTCCCTAAACAGAGGCACGAGCCCCTCGATGACGCATTGCCCCTTGATGAACTCCAGGTTGCTACCATCCAAGACAGTCACAGTGAGTGGCAACTTGCTTTTGATGTGTCTTCCACTAGCAAGGGAGGAGGGGCAGGTATCATCCTCACCTCTCCAACTCAACACATCACAGCGGCCTTCAAACTTGCTTTTCGCTGTTCTAACAACGAAGCCGAGTATGAAGCACTTATTCTTGGCCTCCTCGTAGCCTTTGACAAGGGCATCTCGAGATTATGCATATGTGGAGACTCCAAACTAGTTGTTAAGCAGGTGACGGGCAAGTACGCCATCCGCGAGCCTTCGCTCGCATCTTATCGTACCATTATTCAAAGGCTCCTCGCTAGATTCTCCTCCGTTCGGTTCCTGCATGTACCTCGTTCCAATAATAGGTACCCAGATGCACTTGCAACGTTAGCCTCTAAACTAATAATTGCAGATGACATGACTCAGATCCACATCACCAAGCGCATTGGTCCAGCTACCATCACTGAGCTTTTCCCAGCCTAAACTATTCTGGACAATGACTGGCGAGCCCCAATCATTAGTCAACTCAAGCAACGGACAGGACCAATGCCTTTCATGCAATTGAAATCATTCCAACTTTTGCAGGGTTTGCTATACTTCCACCTACCATGTGGAACGTTAGCCAGGTGTTTGGGCCCTCGCGATGCCGAAACAGCTCTCACAGTGACTTACGAGCAGCATTGTGCTACACCTCTGGCGTTATATCGACGACTCCAACGCCAGGGTTATTATTGGCCAGATATGGCAGTACAGGCTAATACCCTGCAGCGCACCTGCCCGCAATGTCAAGCCAAGATGGATGAGACAGAGTCTTATATTCTCGAGGTGGTTGTTTGGCTTCGCCCGTTCATTGAATTCCTCTTGCATGGCACCCTTCCAGACGATAAACAAACTGCTGCAAGGATAAAGAGGAAGTCCGCATGATTCGAGCTTCGGGAGGGTGAACTCTTTCGCCGTACCCTCAATGGTACGTATTTGCGATGCTTGTCTCGCAGCGACGCCATGGAAGCTCTCAAGGAGGCTCACCAATTGGAGCATTAAGGCTTGCGCAAGCTCTTTGCGTACTTGTTGAAAAAGGGAGTTTATTGGCCCACTATGGAGAGCGATGCCAAGTCTCATATACAAAAGTGCAGGCCTTGCCAACATCACCATCATCAGATCCATACTCCGGTTATGCCCCTCCACCCTATTGAAGTCCCTTGGCCATTTCACACACGGGGACTAGATCTTATTGGACCATTCCATCCACCGGTGCGAGGTTATATGTGGATCCTTGTTGCAACAGAATTCTTCACTAAGTGGATTGAGGCGGTCCCCCTCAAGCATGCCACCGGTGGGGCCGTCGCGACTTTTGTTGTTGGTTTCCTTGATGGAGTCGCCACAACCAACAAAGCTTGAAAGTTGTGTGAGAATTTAGGAGGTGGCCAAGTTTTACATTTATAGAAAGCCACTACTACCTTTCTCTATATAAAATATAGATAGGGTGAGTAGGGATCGTCCCAAGGGATTAGATGGTGTATCGAATTGTGAAACTATGATAATTAGGGTTAGTAGGTCGAATGATCACACAATTGTTGATTGATTGGTTGATTATACTAAATGAGCTAAACTATAATAAAGCAATGCAATAAGATAAAGAGTAAGTAAGAAGGAAAGGTCTTGGGGTGTAGAGATCACCACCAAACAATACTATTCCAAACCATAATCAAGTGACTAATGAGGGAAATGAATGTGTTGCAACAATGTTGTGTGTGTAAAAGACATTCAATTGGTAAGGGTGACTCAACAAGTGCAAATTGTCTCAATCAACATGTGTGAGGCCACAATACATCTATTGGTAGAGGAATTTATTGTCTAAACATCATGTGAAGATAACAAAATAACAATTCAAGTCATTGAACCTTTTATTAAGCTCATAGTCCAAGCAATCCATAAGGATGACTTAGTTAAACATGCATTATCTAAACATCATGTGAGAGGTACAAAATATCTATTGGGAGAGGAATAAATTGTCTAAACACATGTGAAAGATACAACATATCATAACTAGTCATTAATCCTTCATTAAGCTCAAAATTCCATTACACCACAATATTAGAGCATATGCTTCTTGCATTCAAAAGCATGGAACATCAAAGAACAAGCATGAATTGTTTCCCCAACTAACACTACACTACTTAAAAGAGAAGCACAATCCATCAAGGAATAAGTATGAACCATCTAGAGACATAACAAGAATATTACATTAAGAACTTCATATTTTGGCAATCTCAAGATTAAAGGCATTAATACACATAGACATGCATCAATAACATTAAATCTAGAGGTGAGCATCTACTCTAGCATACATAGACATGTAGATAGAGAAAATGATCAATTAGAAGCATTAATCCATAGAACTCAATGACTAATCAAGATCTTCATAAGTTCAAGAATCAAAATATGCATTACAACACAAATCCCTCAAAATTACACAAGATTAGGTAAAGAAAGCATGTTTGGGGCTAACTCTAGCCCCAAGAGGATGTCTAGCCACTCATGATGATAAAGCTCCAACCATCAAGGGCTAAATCCATGGTGAAAATCTGCTCCTTGATAATGAAGGTCTCCTCCAAAGGTTGCTCTAGCTTCCTCCCTTCTTCCTCTCCAAGAATAGCCTCCAAGATGATTTTCAATGTGTGACAAGAGCCTCCTCTCAAAAAGTGTATCATATTCCTTATATAGGTAGGTCAAATACACCCCATGATGAGCTGTGGTCGTGCAAGGCATATTCTCCAATGATTAGATGAAGGACGGAATAAATGAGCTGGACTTTAACTTTTTCTCGCTGGAGGAAGTTCGATCGATCGAACCTTAACTTGGATCGATCGAAGATGGGTTCGATCGATCGAACTGCATCTTGGATCGATCGAAGTGGTCTGACTCCTCCGGATAAGGACAAGGCTGAGATATTTCGAAGATATTTATGGGAAAAAGGACAAAAGTGGTTGGTAGGCGTACAGCTGTGGATAAGATCAATCATTTGAATAGGACAAAATAGTGTTCGATCGATCGAAGGTGATGTTCGATCGATCGAACTTGGAATTTCAGCAAAGGCCAAGGTTGGATCTATCGAGAAGTACTGTGATCGATCATAGATGTTCGATCGATCGAACTCTAAGTTGGATCGATCGAACTTTTCAGCTGCACAACTTTGATTCCTTTTTGCTCCTTTCTTTCTCCACTTTGCTCCCTCCTTTGGTTTATCTCAGGATTGCTTCAATTAAGCTCTTATTTGGCTGAGTTAGCTCAATTTTGGGATTAGTGCCTGAAAATATAAATAACACGTAATAAGTCTAAAACGGCAAAGTAAGATAGATAAAGGTACTAGAATGCTTAAGCTTAACGGGTTTAAATGCGCACTTTTCAGTGCTCATCACACCCGCAAACTTAAATATTGCTAGTCCCTAGCAATGAACTAAGAAGTAAAGGAATGAAATAAACAACTATACAAGTATAAACTGGAAAGCAAGTAAAATGATAACACCATTTTTGTAGGGAACACGATTGCAATTAGCTTATGCAACAAGCCTTTTAAACCCCTAGGTTACCTCTAGTGGACGAGTAAAGTCTCATGAGGGTTTCCCGAAATGGCACCCACAAACATTAAGCTCATTCTTTCAAAAGAGGCACCAATATTGCAAACAAGCATTGGGAGAAAACTACCTCAAGTATGCAATTTTTCAACCGTTTCTAAGCAATCTCCCAAAATTTCAATATCAAGCAAGCAAGTATGGTCCTCCACATATCAAGAAAATGATCATGAAAATCGAAACAAGTCTAAAATCCATGTGAGAGGTCCGGCATCAAGTGTGTTACTATCTTAGCCAACTAGAGAAGTAATCACATCCTCACCCTCAAACCGGCACACAAATCTAGTACTGATCATCAAGATAAAAGAGTGGACCTTTTATTAAAGATTTATTGTTCTAGGTGCGCTTATTCTTTTCACTCTTTTTCTTTTTTTATTTTTTATTTTTTATTTTTTATTTTTTATTTGAGGATCAAAGATGAAAATATTGTGCAATGTGTTGATCTCTTAAGCTTTCTAGAAGATTCATGTAGCGAGCGTTAGGTCAATGACTCCCAAACCAGATGGCTTTAGGGCATTAGGTGTTAAGACACCCCTACGGACTTACAAACTCAAATCAACTAGACTACAAATCAAGACAACAACCATCTAATCATTTCCTACTTCTCACCTTTTGGGAGAAATCCTCACTTTTATTACTTTTGCAACTTTTTTTTTTTTTATTTTTAATAATCAATTATTAACCTAGAGTTTGGGCCCTCCACCTTTCGGCGCGAGAAGTTCACTGCTTAATGAGGCAAGAATCCCGGCTACTCAATGAAAAGGGGTTGTTATCCACCTTTATCAAGAATGAAAGCTTTCAATGCACTACTAGCCCAATTGGGATATAACCAATTCAATAATCAACAAAGCATGTACCCCACAAATGAATGCTAGTGTGCACCGGTGCTAGTGTAGAATCCTAGAATGAATCTCAAAACAATCACAAATTCAGGATGATGTGGACCACAAATGCAAGTAAGATATCAATCTTTTGAAAAATTTACTCCTAAATGGCATCCTCAAGGCATACAAGGAGTATTGGACTCTCAAGTCAAGCAATTTTTAAATTTTAAGCAATATAGTCCTCAAAAGATCAAAATCATAGCTAGAAATGGACCAAGTATAGAAATATCCCTCAAATACACAAGACATGCTCAAAATTTGAATTTTAAAGTAATACTGAAACATACACCAATACCCCCAAACTTAAACTGCACATTGTCCTCAATGTGTGAAGAGAACAAATGAAAGAGTATACCCGTGCTTTAGACATGAATAATCGGGATAGAAGTATCCAAAGTGGGTGGCATGGCCCCCCCAAACTTGGGATAAACTGTGGTCCTGAAAAGTTTGCACTCGGATAAACTCATTAGATAACAAAATAGGATAATCAGTGCATAGTGGACATGCAAGTGTAAAATGTGATAAATAGAGAATAGAGAGAGAGGTGTAAGAGTGGTCCTGAAAAATTGGGCAGCACTCTCTCACTGAAGTCACTGTGGTGTACCTGATGAAGTCAAACATACAAATATGAGATACTAAGAGACATCTATAATCAAAAAGCAATATATAGAGAATATAAAGTGCAGGTATATCAATAAAATAATAAAGCCGACAGACCGGCCGCAAAGTATAATACAGTAACAGTGACAGTATAATACAGATCCAGAATAAAAGAAATGAAAGCATAGAACAACTGGAAGTGGGGTCTCAGGAGGCCTGATCGTGAAGATCTGCAGTGGCTGGAGGTGCAGGTGCGGGTGCAGGTGCAGGGAGTCGGCTGGAGAGATTGGCAAAGCAAGCCATGACATCCGCCCTGAAAGAGGTGAACTCAGCTCGGTGGGCAGTGATGTCGGCTCGCATGGCTGCT